AAGACCCGTTTCCAGAGCAATGTTACTGGGCGTGTCCCCGGCTAGTGAATAAGGGGCTGTCCAATTAGCTGCTATTAGGTTTATTAATTAAGCCGTTGCGGACTATCAACGACAGTGTTCGGAGATACGGAGGATTTTGCTTGGCTAAGGTCACAATGTCGCTATAAAAGTCTGGAAGCCGCACGGCAACTTGGCGATCGCCGTCCATCGTTAAATAACGTTACCGTTACCGTTATATTCCATCCACCAGACATGCACTTTCGAGTGAAGGGATTGAACCACACAAAACGTCATTGGCTCAGCTGGAATAACCCTGCTGCCTTTAAGTTGCACTGAGGTGAGCAAAATTTGGAAGTACAACCTGGAACGAAATGGCCGGATGAGGGTACTCCGGATTGAAGGGACAGAGTAGTAAAACAGCCGTGAAGTGATAGAGTAAGCTGTTGCCTCCGGCAATTTCCGGCAACCGTATCATACAACACAGAGGAGCTAGCAAAATCAACATATACCAAATCAGCCACAAAGTAGATGAAATGCATATTCACAATCGTCACCCCCTCCTGGTGCATTAGGCTGACGCAGGGAATTCTCGTTCAATTGGTCAACCGCTTTGACAACAGCGGATAAGTACCCCTCCCGTTCGGTTTACAGATTAAAGAATCGATTTGGCATTTCGAACGCCACAAAGACTGAAGCACACAACATAAAACCGATCATTTTTTTTAATACAAAGCGAATAGGCTAATAAACGAACTCCACAGTCCGCTATCTGATATCTGGAAACGAGAGGAGATCCGAGCATAATGGAATAATTCTCTTAATGCCTTAGTCCTCAAAAACAGTTCACGAAAGGTTCGGGGCAATCATAAGGGAACCGGTAGTATTCTACTAGTGTCAAAGAATCTATCAGCCATGATCCTTCAGAGACTGTTAGACGAACGAAATGACCTGACTCGTCATGAGAAAGCGAGATTTCATTCCCGGTCGTGTTTACGTTGATCAAACCTTCACAATTGATCAGTTTCCCGTATACCGCCGCATCAATCGTAGACCTCTGAAAGCCTCAGTATGGTCGGGGATGGGTGTCTACGGTTGCGGCTGGTACCCTTCTCTTGCACCTCACGAAATGCTCCCATACGGCCTCCGTTGAGAAAACCCTGCTCACTGCCTTCTCGTGGCGGAGGTATTTTCCCATCGAAGTGAGAGAACGAATAGCCGACATCCAGGGCTATCACCGGGTTGGTCGAGCACTGGTAGTTGACCTAGGGGAGTTGGCCAAAACCCTGATTCCAAACCAACCAAGAAGAGGCGCACGAACCACACACACACACCTCTTCGGTTGTAGCAATGGTCACCGGCTCAATTGGGCCTCGTGGTGTATTGGACACCTCGGAAGTTTGATCACGTTCAAAGGGCGGGCGATCCGATGAACTGGACATCGGCCCCCAATGGACTGCGGTCTTTCCACACCGCTCCGCTGCCCTGCGGGTCAGGCTTTGATTAGCCGAAGGCTCCGGTTGTGGATTCCTCAAAAAAATTCACCTGACTTGGCCTGGGCAACCTGATGGTATTCAGCCCACATACAAAATCATGGAACGTTTTTCTTTTTATAAGGATATTGCACCTGATTTGTTTGGCACAGTCTGGCATCAGACGTGTGTGTAATAAATATACATGCATAGACCGACCATCTTGGTATTTCTTAACAGCAACACAACTTTCGATCCGTTGATGGAATATTCTCCTGAAAAATAGAGTACTATAATGGTATACATCCATCCTGAAGGCGATATACCGATTCATTTCGACAAATCTGAGGACCAGCGGCAAACTTTCACCATCGTTCGTTATTTCCAGTGGCGTACACCAGGGATATCCTACTTCATCATATCCATTTAGGTACGCAAGGGACGAGGTCATCACTAGAATGGCTGTCTTAAAATGAATGCGTAGAGCTACTCTCAGATAGTAGTACTGTCGACTTAGAGTACACAGATGAAATTCTTTTGATGGCCTCGACTGTACAGTCACTACAGAATAGCCCACATGGCTTAGCGGTCGAGGTTTCTCTATATGGCTTGTTTTCACTTTCAAAATGCAAAGGACTGCTGCAAGACCGGCGGAAGCTTGCATCCACAGAGGTTATGAAGCATTAAACATTGCGTAGACCTTAGGAGATGAACCGAAATAGGTGGTATAGTGAGTGAGATCGAAATGCGGATTGCAAAGGAAGACCTGGCCCTCTTCAATTTGAGATATCTATGGCCTAACCTTGACAACAGCCTCTGCACAATAAGAACGACGAACAAATGAAAGCAACAATCAATAAAAAATGCACGGATCGATCGAAAGTGCCGAAGTTTTCCAAAAAAAGATCACCAACTTCAAGAACACTTGCACCAAACACGAATGGGTGCATCCTGGGCCTGATTAAATAACGCAATATGACAGATATAATCAGGGCTGAAGGTATTGGGTTTGCCATTATCGCCAACTAAGAAGTGTTACATACATTTATAAAATTATACTCTCCTCAAAATCGATTGTTAATTGCAAAGAAACTTGGATATATCCAACTGATTTTAGTGTTGGAACGTCCGTGTCGATTGCGCAATTCAGACGGGAAAATGACACTCGAAGAACCTTCGTCTTATCCGTTCCAAAAGCATGCCACATTGATCAGAATACGGATCATTTTGGTGGGATATAGTTGAGCTTTCAAAATCAGACTGGAACTGCGAGATGCTGAAGTAACACAAAACTGTGATAAAATGGATGCATGGGTAATCTGAAGTGAGCAGAATGCAAGCAGTCCGGTTCAAAACGCAATGAACTAAGACAAGCTTTGTCAATTAAAGGCAGTTTACATACGTATCAGTATATTCATACGTTTTAAAAAGAAATCAAAACTTTAGGTATAAAAAATTTAATTAATTGTTGAAAATGAATCACAAAAGTATCAAGGTAACTTGATGTTAAGAAGATAAAATAACTGAAGGCAAAAGCCGTAAACAAAAGTTATGAAGCTGCTGATTCAAAAGAAATAAAAAATGAAATCAATATGAAGTAATTGAAGTATAAAAGACTGTGATACTGTGTGTGTTCCTGAGCAATCGTAAATAACAATAGATTATAGATCAAGAAACACTCAAAAAGATGGGACGCAAGGTCTGAACAGTATTTCAAATAAGTCAATCTTTCATAATAGACCGAGCGATTAGTTCTTTCATTATCTCGTTTGAGCCACCGTAAATCGATTGGACCCGGGAATCCACATATGCCTTGCACACTGCATAATCCCACATGTAACCCCAACCGCCATGAAGTTGAACACCATCGTGAGCCACGCGATTGAAAAGATCACTTGCCCAATATTTGGCCATGGATGCCATACTCGAGTCCAGACGTCCTTGATTTAACAGTTCTAAGCACTGATCTACAAAGGCCCGAGACACGCAAATACTGGTCTTCATTTCAGCCAAACGATGCTGAACAGTCTGAGATGCGATGAGAGAAGCATAAAGAAGACGTATAGAAAAAACATATGAATAAATTTATTAATGTGAGGAAAATGACGTTCTACAAACCGTATCTAGCGTTCACCAACGGATGGCTGACCATTTGCCACCTTTGTAAAGAACGGGAAGAATAGAATAAAAGTAAACAATCTGAGTACACAAAGAGCGCAACACGGAAGCTTATTATGCAACAACTGACCAGATATATACTTCGTTTGCATAACCCTCAACACCACATTTTCGTTTGTGTTTTGGTTGCCGTCTCAGTTTCCCATTTGGTTACCAATGAAAGGAGAGAAAAAACAGAGTATTACTGAGATATGGGCACAATACAAGTAAAGTTCACCTTTTCCCATCAAGCTTCAGTCAAAACCCACAATCCTTTCGTTAAAACCCGAAATGTTTTAGTCTCGACCCGTAGCCCTTTGGTCTCGACGCACAAACTTTAGTCATACCGGTGTAGGCCGATCAGATCAAAATGTATCGGAGTATTCTGAGGTTGACGAATGTTGAAAAAATTTATTTCCTGCAAATGTCGATGTTGCAAATCTTATTTAACCTTAGCTAAGAGATGAGTTGCGACAATCGTATGCTGCGCAGCTGGCCTTCGTAATGGTATCAAACGCCACACCACATATTGACTGGTGAAGCATTAACCGATGGGCCCCAATCATCAGATCGTTTGGCACATCTCGTATGGCTTCAGTGTTTCCAGCGAACCAGCTTTCAATGTGCTAAATAATAGGCGAAATAAAGAATTTAAAACGCTTACTTGATGGAATTTACAGAAGGTCTCCTCTAGAATCTTAAGCAAGGACTGTGTGATGGAAGAAATCGAATTTGGTGATTGGCATCTGATTCCCTCGGAACGGGCGCATTGTCAAAGATAAAGACAAATAGAACAACCGGTTGCTCAGTAGCGATCGACATCGAGCAGCTTGATAGAAACTCATTGAAAACATGCCAGGTATGACATTCATATTTCAAGATATCGACGGCAGATGAACATGGTGTTATGTTTGAATTCGGTATTTTGCTGGATGATAGGCTTCGGACGACTTTACAGCCCACTTTGGAGCATCTATAGCTGCGACAGCGCCATATGTTGTGAACCGTATTTATTATCCTGGGCACGTTAATGTATTCATATCTCATGAACAGAGTCCATTTTAACTGGGGATACGGAACGGTAGGCATTTACTTTTGGGGGGTATCACATTTTGATTTATTTCACGGTTTTTGAATGCAAAACAATAGACTATTTGTGTTACACTTGAGATCTTTGCTCACAGGAGTATCGCATGCTATACGGAAACACAACCTTTACGAGATGTGTCAAATAGTTGGACCATACGGGCATATCGTTTAAACGTTCTCTAATCAGCATGTGGTGCAGCGTGCAACCGCAACACCTCATTTATTAACCAAGCTTTGCAACAAAAATATTGGGAGAAAATAATTGTTCTCAACATTTGTTAACCTCAGAATATTCCCATACCTTTTGATCTACAGCCACAGCGATATGACTAAAGTTTGGGCGTCGAGACCAAAGGACAACTGGTCGAGGATAAAGCATTACGGATTATGGCAAATGTACGGGTCGAGGCTAAAGGAATGCAGGTTTGGGCCTGAAGCCTGATGGGAAAAGATGTAGATGTGCACAGAGACGGGTGTGTACGCAGGAGCGACATTGTCTATGACACTCAGGCATATGACTCATCTTTCCCTATCGATTGGAGATGAACTTAGGTTCCTT